TCACACACACACACACACGCACACACACAGTCATACACACACACACATACACACACACACATACACACACACATACATACATACATACACACAGGCACACGCACACGCGCGCACACACACACACATATATATATATACACACTCTCTCTCTCTCTCTCTTTCTTTTTTTCTCTTTTACCCATATCTCTTTTCGTCTTTCTCTCTTGATCTTACTCTCTGTTCTTGTCTACCCTCTGTCTGTCTGTCTCCCCCCTCGAGCGCTTTATGTTTGGCATGTGAATAGGTAGGCACGTGGTGCACTGGAAGAAAGCATGAGTGGACTGTAGAAGTGACGTTTGCCGAATTTTGGAAATAACTTGTATTCGGTGAATTTCACGCCATCATTTGGGAAATAAGTGAAATGTATGTGATTTGTAACTTTCATAGGCTGCCGTGAAGTCTTCGCGTCAATTTGTGATATTATTATCAAGTGCCATAGTTTATCCTTAATTTTCGCATGCATTCTCCGAATGAGTTAAGGCGCAAATCATTACCGTTCGACGTACGGCCTTGATATTCGGAACGTAAGGGGGAATCGCAAGGACTCGGGTTGTTGAATTCGGGGCTAAAGGGTAAAAGGTGAAGATGTGTAAATGGAGGGGGAATATTTAAATAATTAAGTAATTAGGAAATATTTTTTTCCCTTAATACGGAATTGCGAGACAAATGTCAGCAGCTCAACCTAGGCTCTTCATATTAATAAACGAGTTCATGAATGAGCTTCAGCCTAGTAAGTTCAGTACAGTTATAGCTTCTTGTACAGGTACAGAACAGTACAGGTATTGTGGCGACTCCTATCTTGTTAAATAATAAAATGTTTTCGACCGCTCCCTGCTGGTGGTATAGGACGTGTTAAATGTAACGCGTAGTTATTATAAGTCTTGGCAATTTATTTCCACCATCATCTGCCGATGGCGTCAACAGGTGCGTTGCTGGGGCGGCCAGGGAATTTTCAAAGAAAGCCTACTTTTTCGCGCAAAATCACATTGCAAAGTGGCCATTTGGAGTTTGTGTTGGCAAAATTTTGTTTACAAAAAAAATTATAGAAGAATTTTTGAGTTAATAACATCAGGAGTTAATAATGACAAAGGAGCTTGACCCGTATTTGGTACTGATTTCAATACATTTTTGTCGTACGAGTTCGATGTGAATAAAATACAAATGTATACAAACATGAGCTTCTTTTGTTCACCGGTCCTTTTTCTATCTTTCGGTAGTATTACAAACCGTGTAGCTTCCTTCGTTTTGACATAAATCGTACTTTTGTACGACATGTTTTTCACGTTATTTACCGTCGTGTGGCGTATCCAAGCGGTAAATTCGCATACACAACAACTGGAAGGAGGCGCGGTAAGAAAAGTAATAAATATACAAGCAAAGATATTCAAAACAAAATAATGGTTGCTCTCGCTGCAGAGGTGACTGATAAAATTGCTTCTGATCTCCAAAAAGCCAATTTCTATACAATAATGACAGACGAAGCTACGGACTCGTGTAATAAAGAACAAGCGGTGTTTGTTATACGATGGGTTGATGAATTGTTGAATCCTCATGAAGAATGTGTCGGATTATATAACGTTGATGATATAACATCTCAAACAATTGTTACGGTAATGAAAGATATTTTATTACGATATAGCTTGCCAATTAGTAAATGTCGTGGCAAGTGTTATGACGGCGCGAGCAATATGACGGGAATAAGGGAAGGTGTGTCAACATTAATTCGCAACTTGGAAATGGTCGTTGGACAAAGAGAAATTGGACAGTTTGGACTTGGAGAAATCAGTTGATAGGTTTATAAAAAAAGTCACGATCATCGCACAGGAATATTTGGTCCAGTTTTATAATTCCATATAGTTCGTTTCATATATTTAACTCTCGTTAATAATTATCAGGTTACATAAAGATACTTTAAAGAACAAAAATTTGACATGTAAATTGGCAGATGCCGAAATAATTAGGCCTATACTGAAGTATAAATATATATTTGTTAGAGTTTTAAAAAGTATTTTTAAGCTCTAAAAATGCATCTTGGTGTCTTAAATTTTAAAAATTTCTTGGGAGAGGACTTCCAACGCCCCCCCCCCTTTTTGACGAGGGGGGAAACCCCCTAGAACTCCCCCACCAAGGCTGCGCCGTGGCGACCTGGCTTTCGGCCAGCTGTTCGTCGACATCTGTTATTGATGCTAAATGGACCCTGACTAATGTTTTTTTGCTTCCGCCGGCCATGATATGAATCCACCCCCGTCACCGCACGTATACTTTAGCCACTAAGTACATCTTTCCCACTATCTTACTAAACACATATCGCATTTGCACTTGACGTCACTTATAAAATATTATATAAATATCATGTGAAATTGATCCATTCGGCAATGAAACTACGCTAGCTGGTATTTCGAACTGACGATTTACGACGTGTCACATGTACGTTGCCAATTAAGTTGCTGCAAAATCACATCAGCTAATGGAGAATCCAGCACAGAACAAGAAAAAGGAGAAGGTAAATACGCAAGTTGCTTCTTACGAAGTAAACGGGAGTTCAGCTTGACAATTCCTATTATAATTAAGGCGAATGATGTCCATCTTTCTAATTTTGCTTATTTGCCGCAGATTGCCTTTTCGATTAGAACGTAGCGTATTGCATTAAGCGAACTTTTATTAACGTGAATCTTTTACCCGTTGAAAAGTATACTTCGTCTACAATATTATTAGTGTATTTATTGCGCATTTTAAGTAACGACTTCGCATACAAATTCTAGCTCTATTTAAAGACAGTTTGCCTGAATTTTATTCTGCAAAATGTCTGGTACCACACCACGCGCAGTCTCTTCGCCCTCGCCTCACACCTGCGCTGCAAAATGCCGACCAGTTCGTTCTCTTTCTTGTTTATAATTATTCACTAACTCTCGCGGGTTTATTGTATTGGCGTTTAGTCATTATTGGAGCGCATATAGAGAAGAAGGTTCTTACGTATATATTTACATGTAAATTTCTTTCCCTCATGTGTTTTAATACGCATAAATAGATCATATCGCTGTTCAGACTACGTGCACTGTCACATCTGATTGAAGCGTCACGTTTTAGATATTGCGTCACGTTTAGATATTGCGTCACGTTTTAGATATTGCGTCACGTTTTAGATATTACACAAGGCAGAACACACTAATAAGGCAACATAAGGCACTATAAGGCACTATAAGGCGCTATAAAGGCGCTATAAGGCTATAAGGCACTATAAGGCGATTTAATCGAGCGACTTTATCGCCTGATAATATCGCCCGATTCTATCGCGCGAGTCGAGTGGACACACTAGGCGATTGAGTCGGGCGACTGAAATAATCGCCCGATAATATCAAAACGTTTTAGGGCCGGATACACTAGGCGATTTTACACGTGTGTGCATGAGTGCGTTGGTGCGTACGTGCGTGTGTGTACATGTACACGTGCGTGCGTGCGTGCGTGTGCATGTACACGTGCGTGCATGCGTGCGTGCGTCCGTGTGTGTGCACGTAGACGTGCGTGCGTGCGTGCGTGTGCATGTGCACGTGCGTGCATGAGTGTGTGCGTGCGTGTGCACGTACACGTGCGTGCGTGCGTGCGTGCGTGTGAACTTACACGTGCGTGCATGCGTGCGTGCGTCCGTGTGTGTGCACGTACACGTGCGTGTGTGCGTGCGCACGTACACGTGCGTGCGTGCGTACGTGCGTGTGTGAGTGCAGGTACACGTGTGTGCATGTGTGCGTGCGTGCGTGTGTGCGTGTGCAGGTACACGTGTGTGCATGTGTGCGGGCGTGCGTACGTGCGTGTGTGTGCAGGTACACGTGCGTCCGTGCATGCATGTGCACGTAGACGTGCATGCGTGCGTGTGCACGTACACGTGCGTGCATGAGTGTGTGCGTGCGTGTGCACGTACACGTGCGTGCGTGCGTGCGTGCGTGCGTGCATCGCTATTACATGACATTACATACTAAACATGAAACATCGCTATTACGTCAGTATCATTGAACAACTCTCATTGGCTGATGAATTGTACAATCGGGCAACTAAATCGCCGACCCGGACACACTAGGCTATTTTATCGGGCGACTGAAATAATCGCCCGATAATATCAAAACGTTTTGATCTATGCGATTAAATCGGGCGACTAAATCGGGCGACTGACTGGACACACTAAGCGATTTCACCGGCGATTTAGTTGCCCGATTTAATCGCCCGATAAAATCGCCAAGTGTGTCCGGCCCTTTGCAGAACTATTTCGGAGCACTTTCTAGTTTTACACACAATAAGCTACTAGGAGGTTTATTACATACTATATACATATCAAGAGCTAATAATACCTAGAGTGTACAACGGAAAAACGGGAAAATAGTGCTACTTCACGACTACATTATTCTACTTTGCCTGCAAGTCTAAAATAATTTCATGGTATTGCATTAAGCAGAATTCCTTGCTCTCTACAACAAGACCAACCGCTTGTCAATACGATACTCCTAGGCGGAGATATCGGCTCCTAAACCTCCCCTCCCACATGCCTTACGCCGCTTCGCATCCACTTTATTATATGAAATTATTCTAGACTCGCAGGCAAAGTAGAATAATGTAGTCGTCAAATAGCACTATTTTCCCGTTTTTCCGTTGTACACTCTAGGTATTATTAGCTCTTGATGTATATGTAATTAAGTGTCACGGAAATGCGAGTGTGTCGGGTATTTGAGAAGACGAGCCATGATATCCTTGCGCCGGTACGATTTCCCGCGGGAACAGCATGGCGCACCTAGTTTGTGCCATGTTTGATTTTGTTCCACAATACTGTAAGGATTCATCGATAATTCTCCGAAACCCATAATTCCGCACGAGGTAAATATTAAGATTGATGTCTATTACACCGGTATATGTACGTTTCAATGACTGTCGAATTGCTTTCTGCCAAATATGTTGTAGTTTGTTCATCAAAACACATCGCCTGCTAACTGACGCTGAGAGGGTCTATGTCCCCCAGGGCAGGCGCAGCGTCACGGAGGGGGGGCAGGGGAGCGGTTGCATAATTTAAAAAAAGAGGAATAAAAAAGAGAAAAAGAAACTGGTTCGACGGGCCTGAAAGCTGTTGTTGTGCGGGGGAGGAGGAAGATTCAGCCCGAATCCCAGCTCTTGCTAATTCTAATTATTAAAACCCTCTCATTGCTGGAACAGTCAACCTAACTCAACCCTAACCGTAACACTAACTCTAAACCGACTCGGCTATCTTATATACGCGTGTCATAGTACCCAAATTAATCTATGGTGTATAACCTTTCGTAGTGATGCGCAACAATGCTCGGACGAATATCCACGCCGCTAACCCTAACCCTAACCCTAATCCTAACCCTAGCCCTAACCCATAGCGTTACGCGTCACGCATTAGTGCCGTTTACTAGCAGGGGGTGCTGGGGGTGCTGCAGCACTCCCTGTTTTTTTTTAGTTGAGTAGTGCGTGTGCACGTACACGTGCGTGCGTGTGCACGTACGAAGGCGTACGGCGTGTGCACGTACACGGCTAACTATGAACTCGCTTATAACGAAAACAATGCCAATCTATGACAAAAGAAGCGTCAAAGGCGTCGCCTGTCTGGGTAGTATGGTAATTATTTATTTATCTTTAGTTGAGTAGTAATTTTATAATGTTTTTTTTCAATAAAATAGTGCATGCTGCGGTATGCTAGAGATACCTGCGGAAATTTCGAGTGGTTTACGGCACCTCGCCAGCTCGTGTAAAGTTAGCAAAGGTTTACGTAAATTTTAGCTTGATGAATCGCACCTAAAACGACCTCGCTTGCGTACGCGAAATCGTACGCAAATTTACTAAATAACTGCGTTGATAAATCGCAACTAAGCAACGTCGATTGCGTACACAAGATTTACGCAAAATATTTTGCGTACGCAGCTTGATGAATCATAAATCTACCCCTTGGACCCCACCCGTCAGTGCAAGCGCACACGGTATCAGAGTCTACAGTTTCCAGGGGCGTGTACATGGGGGGTCCGGACCCCCCCCCCTGCTCGCACAGAAAACGCATCTGAGGGGGTCTAATTTAAAAAAAACCACCCTTTCGCGTGCTCGCAAGTTTGGGTTACGGTTAGACCCCCCCTCGTACAAATCCTGTACACGCCCCTGGTTTCGCCCCCATAAGAAAATACCCTGGCGCCGCCCCTGCCCCAGGATACTGCCGGAACGTAACCTGGGTACGGGCCGGTATACCGGAACGTACCCTGGTACTATCTAATATGCCGGACCGTACCTTGCCTGCACCACTAACGAGTCTAAGGAGTCGCCTACGCCTACTCCCTAACCCTGACCCTAACCCTAACCCTAAGTTCTAACCCTAAACCTAACCCTAACCCTAACCCTAACCATATCAAATAGTTACCAGGGTACGTTACGATATACCGGACCATACCCAGGGTACGTTCCGGCAGTACCCTGGGGGACATAGACCCTATGAGCCTAACGGACACTGCTTGCCGTTAAACATGCATAGAGCCCTTGAGGTCATCATACTACTGTTCACGTTTACAGTTAACATATAATTGTCTACCTATGTTTGCAAAGCAAGTTTCGAAACTTATAGCACATTGTCGTTATTGTGCATGTTTTACAGTTTTTACGACACCATAGCAGCATGATCGTCGAATAAAGTGTAAACGCGGTGCCTGTGTTGGGCAGAAAACTGTGTTTCTAGTATTTATTGGAAGTTTGGGTTTGTGAGCAATTACAGTATATAATAATTATATGTTAAGTTAACTTATTAATTCATCATGTATTTTATTTCATAATTCGATGTTTTGTTTTATGGTTGATTTTATCACATATAACATTCACGGATCGAATGCTTCAATTCACGGAACGAATCATTCGATTCACGGATCGAATCATTCGACTCACGGATCGAATCATTCGATTCACGGATCGAATCATTCGATTCACGGATCGAATCATTAATTCACGGATTGAATCAATTCGATTCACGAGACGATCATTTGATTCACGGATGAATCTTTTGATTCACGAGATCGAATGCATTCGCATTCACGGCATCGAATCATTTGATTCCACCTGATCGAATCATTTGCAGATCAGGGAGTAGCATGGTTCGATGCAGTTCGTGCAGGAGGGATCTTCATAATACAAAAATACTGTAGTGGTTATTCGCACCGTGGCGGTGCAGATAACCGAAAATGTGTTTAAATTTTATATGTTATACATGTAATAATGGCTAAGGAGTGCCAATATTAGGCAGTTAATGATGTTATGAGCAAGGCGAAAAACCTAGAGGGAAGAGAGACGAGGTAATATGAAGAGAGGGAAAGATGTGGTATTACAAGGAAGGAGGTAGAAGGTATGAGGACGAGGGAGGAAGGTAGTGGAGGAGGAGGAGGGGAGAAGAGGGTGGGGTAGAAGAGGTAGAAGACGAGGGAAAAAGTAGTGGAGGAAGAGAAAGGGGAGGAGTAGAAAAGGGTAGAAGGA